CTTATGTACTACATCTTGAGTATAATAGCTTCTTTGCATCACTTTGTAAGCTCTCATATGTATGTACTTAAACAAAGAACTTCATTCCAATATCATGAATCATATCCTTTATTCTATCATCCTAAGCATCTGCATCTACTTCTTTCTCTTGGAACATTAAACTCATCCCTTCAGTTTCACCATACCATATCCATTTCCTATACCTCAAATTTATCCCATCACAAAGCAAATGTTTTCTTCTCTCATCAATACCCAGTCGACTCCCATTTAAACATTTGATGCATGGACAAAAATATAGTTCATTTTTACTTGAAACACTCCGTTTAGCAAATTCAAAAAAATATGCCACCCCGTTCTCATATTTTTCACTTGTTCTTCCAACATTCATCTAACTATGGTCCATTATTTAACTACCTAATTAATTAACATAAAATTCAACTGTTGACTCAAGTATTATAAGTAATTCTAAGCAATTTATAAACTTATAACAATTCCAAAGAAATAAAAAAAATAAAGTATATTAAACTTTTTTAGTTGAATTATATTTTTTAAAATTTGAAAAATTAGAAAAAAAATTAATAAATTATATATGATCCCAAAATTTCAACATTCACAAAACAAATTTCACTCAACAAATAATCATATTAATTTTTATATTTTTAATAATTAAATTTTTTTGGCAGAATTTTCCCTAAAATTATGACATTCCAAAATATCAATAATAAAAAAATAAATCAATATTAGACAGCAAAAATTACGGCATTTGATAATAGTAAAATTTCTACTCATAACCATTTAAATGAAAAAAATGCAACAAGATGACAAATTGAAATGCAAAACAACTTCTAATCTATTATAAATTTAAAAAAATAAATAAAGATCTTACTTGGAACAAGAAAGAGGAAAATCTGAAATGCAACACCAACAATGGAGAGGGAAGAAATTTGCCAACACACTGCACTATTGAAAAGAAGAAGAAATTATTACAAAAAACCATCAAGAATCAATAAAGGAGGAAGAAGGAACAAGAAAAAAGTGAAAAAAAAAAAATCAAACATACCCACAAAGGAAGTAGCGACGGCGAGACAATGGAGCAGAGTAGGCAGACAGCACGGCGAGGACGATAGTGATAGCTTGCATGGATGAGATGGCGACAAGCAGAGGCAGACGAACGGTCCAACAACTAGACTGGAATGAACTACAAGTGAAATATTCAAAGTTGAGCGGCTGTGGGTTCAAAATTTTGAAACATGTAGAAATCTGAAATTGACAAAAAAAGGCAAGAATTGGGGTAATAAAGTAGGTTTTAACATCGGTTCACCAGGGAACCAACGTTAAAACGTAACCGACATGGAAATATTTACTTTTTTAATTTAAAAAAAGAATATTTCACATTGGTTCCTTAAGGAACCGACATGAAAACTGGTCCCGACGTGGAAACTTTAAAAAAACAAAATTTTTTTTAATCAAACATATAACGGCGGTTGTAGTGTTAACCAATGTAGTATGTGTTTTAACATCAGTTTTCTAGATAACTGACGTGAAATCATTAATACTTATTTATATTTATGTCACCATCTTTCTTTTTACAATGGTTTTTTATACAATCGATGTTAAAAGGCGTCTTTAATAGCTATTTTTGTAGTAGTGAAATTCCAACACAGCAATTGGGGTGGTGAGGATCATGACTTCAAACAAAACTATTGAGTTTGGGAGCATAAAAATGAAGACTCTATTAAAGTCTCAAACAAAATTGCAAGATTGATCTTAAAGCAACTTCCATGAAAATCCAATCTCTATGGCATGATTTTGAAACTTTGCTCATGAAAAGGCAATGAAGAAGTGGTGGCATTAGGTTTGGGTTTAGTATGCATGGACGCAAATGCCTAATGGGATTTTTCTCAAAGGCTAGTCGGAGAAAACTAGTGCTGTATTGAGTTTATGGCTTTAAAAGAAGTGAAATGATTTGCATAAAATTGATTAAATTGTATAAATTAGATATTTTGTTTTATCAAATATGGATACTTTTTAGTATATATTTAATACTTAATAATAACTGTAAAGAAAAATTTTATCAAACTGTTATGAAATAAGTAATGTTAGTGTATATTGGGCATTGAAAGAGCAACAAGAACCAAAAAAATTAGGTGACAATGATAAGAATATTAAGACGGACGTGTAGCTGTACAAAAATAAAATATAAAATTCATAATAACAACATACGAAGAAGAGTTAAAGTAGCTATTGTGAGGAAGATAATAAAAATTATAAATAACATTTAAAGAAAAAGTTAATATCAGAGACCTTTTGGTGAAGATGTATTTAAAGAGTTATGCCCCATTCGGAAGTACTAGAGTCCTCGAACAAGTTCATGCGATTGCTTTTGTTTTTATGTTTTTATCGTTTTGTTTTTTTGTTCCTTAATGAAGGACAAAAGAGTATTTTAATTCCACTTTTTATCTATTTAATTCAAAATAATTTTCTTCAATTCTATCTAATTTTCTAATACACTAAGCACATTTTTTAAACTCACTTCTAAGTTATACTTATAGCTCAATTCTACTTCCAATTCTTTCAAATTCGCTTTTATCATGCCAAATGGGGCATCAATGTTTGGTAAAGCACAATCATATAATATAACTCATATAAGCAATCACATCTAATAAGATAAAATTATTTGTTATTGTTGTAGTTATAATATATGTTCAATAATTATTTGAACATTACCAGTATATAGCAGTTTATGTTCCGCATGTATTTCATCATAAGTTTGCAAGCCCCATTGCCTCAACCTCTAATGTTTCTTTTTCTCTTTCATAAGCATCTTCCTCAATTTGAAAGGTTCATTTAGCTGGCAATGTAGTTCTTATTATAAAACATCTTCTATAAGAATTTTGGTCCTTAAGTGATGATTCATGTATTTTACACACTTTTACCTCTCTTATCTTTGGGTTTTAGTACTTGTTTTGATATAATTTAAATTAAGTAAGTAATATTTCTAGTTAAAATGCAAAGAAATATTTTTAGGAAATATTTTTAGATTTATTGCATATTTTTTCAAATTTTATTGAATATTATTTTTAATTCTCTAAAATTCATTTTTCATTGATTTTATTATTTTATTTGTAGGTAACTATATGGAAAAGAGAAGGAGAGAGAGTATAAATTGGAAAATTTTCCTTATCTTATTTTATTTTCTTCTCCATTTATTTTTAATATTTTTCTTAAGTCATTCTTGATTCCATTGAACTCTTATTCTATACTTTCACAATTGCTAGCTAGCTTTTTACTCAATTTTACTTCCTACACTTTTCACTTTTAATTTTTCCACATGGCAATTCATTTTTCATTCCATAAATTTTTGAAATTATCGCCCTTTAACTCAATTTCCAAATCTACAATTAGTTTCCAATGAGGAAAAAAAAAAGATAGCAAATCATTCTATTCTATTTTGAATTTGAAGAATCACGTGCAATCCGTCAATGGGTTAAGAATTCATTTTTCTAGGATAACTTCATCTTGCTTCTCATTCCACCGTTTGTATCATTTGCTAGGCATTTAGGGGCCCGGGGGGGGGGGAGATTTTAATAAGTTTATGAAACATAAAATCTCAACTATTGAAAAATAGATTCAATGATTAAGATGGAAAGTGAAGAGGAAATGGAGAGAAAAAAAATGAAGAAAAGCTAGTCCCAATTGATCTTCTTTGACTTCACCCAATTTTTGGGCTTCGTATTATTTGATGGATTCTTTCTTCCAACTGAGTCTATTTTCTCTCACTTTCTCTCCTCATCTTCACTAAATTACTGGACTTGACTATAAATCGAAGGGGAGTGAAATCATCTAAGAGCTCTCTTCCACAAAATCTTGTTTTCAATTTCTTCTTTTTGGCTTTCTTGGGAGATGCGACTGTGAAGCTTGTTACAGCCATGAATGTGATTCCAATGAAGCTTCTTGAAGGCTCCACAGATGGAGTTTTTGTGGCTAAGGTGTATCAATTTCAAGGAGCTTATAGAGATGCTTGAATCTTATGGTCTACAAAGGAAGAAATTCTTTCTATTTAAGTTTTTCTATTTCAACATTGCTTAGTTTCAATTTAATTATTAATTTGAAATGGTGATGCATATGACCCATTAGATATTCATTTTACATAATTGAACTTGTAATTTGATTGTTGGACTTGAAAATATTTTGCTGGAATTTCTGAAATTCATGGTAGAATTACTGACTTGCCTTAATTTTTAACTATTCTCTTGGTTTTACCTTGTGTGTCACTTTATATATCATTAGATAGATTGAATTCATGTTTTAAATTAAGTTTGGAACTTGACTAGATGCTATTTTGGGCTGTCACAATGTCCAATTAATCAAACTTACACTTTGGCTATGCATTTAATATTACATTTAATATCACTTGAGTGCCAAATTAATCATTTGAAATTTAGTGATTAGTTTGCACTTGAGTTACTTGTTTTAGGCTTGCCTTAAACAAACTTTTGACCATTGAAAGTGAAATTTAATTCACCCCAATCATTTTGACAATAATAACATTTTACAAGTCTCCAAGAAACTCTTCATTCATTCTCAAAAAATAATCAATTTAATACTATTTATGCACTTGAAATCAAATTTCAATCTAACTTATCAAAGATTCGACCTAGATGACCGCTAACTATATTAGTGTTTACTTAATATTTTTAATGCATATACAACTATTGCATTTCATTAAGATAAAACACTTGATAAATATTAGTTAAATATTAATTACGTTTTTTTTTATATTACCCTTATTTAAACTCATTAAATATGAGAAAAAATGCAACGTAAATCTGAAAACTTTTCATTTAAATAAAAATAAAATTGAAAGTTCATTATATTTTCAAGCAAAATTAATTATTTAACCATCTTTCTTTAATTCCAATGAGATAGTTAGAAGTACTTTAAAATAAGGATCAAAAGAAAGGATATATAGAAAGGGGGAGGGAGGGGGGAGACTAGAATAAGAAAAATAAAAAATTAATGTAAATAATGACAACATGAATACAATCAATCTCTTGCACAAATCATATAGGATACAAGAGCATTGGATTCTTATATCTAGTTCTTGCAATCTCTCGCACCACCACATTATCTTATAATTCAAACTCTACTTTCTTTCGTCATCATCAATGAATGCCATAGCTGTGCAGGATATGGTAATAATTACCAGTAACGATTCATAGAAGGAAGACACTAATAAGAGAAAAAATTATATACTAAGCCTTGTATACTTGTCGTATTTGCTTTCAATCAAATCAAGACATATGAATATTCTATAGATTATTGATTTTATAACAAATTCCTGTTATTAATATTGTCTTTATATTAAAATCCACATGTCTTGATTTGATTGAATAAAAATATATTAAGTATATAAGACTAAGTATATAAGTCTTATACCTAAGAAGAATACATGATTGTAACACCTTATAATCAAGATATCTCAACTTATGATAGCCCAATTTCTTACCACCTAGAGATTCTGAACAAAGTCAAACTGATCAAGATACTCAATCTCCTGATGAGGAGTCGGAACACCCTGTAAACTTAGCCAGCAAGAAAGTGAACTGAGAAATTACAGCTCCCTAGGTCCATCAAATGATTGAGTCTTTCTCAAATTCCAGTGGAGGCCTTCGTGTATGCTTCGCAAGAAGTCATTCGTCGAATCGACCTGACATGCTGTAGGAACAGGCCAGTGTGCCATACTGCACACCAGTGCATCCCCAGGTGCCAACTGCTTCCGGTCCTTGCCATCAAAGGAAGCCCACGCCGGGCTTCGGCTGTTAAACGGTATTTGCACCCGTAGAGTGACATACTCCGGTAATATCAACGGCCGAAAAGATAGTGAATGTGGACAAATGGGTGTAAACAAAATTCCTGGTACCTGCAAATTTGCAGAGAATTTCAGAAAGATAGTGAATGTGAGACGGAATCAATTAGCCAAACGATGCCTCTGGAGAAATGCTTAGGCAAAGGCACTTCACAAATCTTTGAAGAAAGATAAGGTGATGAAACAACTTAAATGAGCTATTTCGATTCAAAGTAATAAATTATTTTCAAATAAATGAGCAAACAGAAATTACTCGCTCATTTTCACACTGCCAGAATTTCTTCACCAAGAATTTTGCATCCAGGACATGAATATGGCCAAAAATAGTTTTTCATCCTACTCAACTGTACTGGTGGCAAAAACAAGACATGTTAATCTGAAAGCATTATGAGTTCTCAGAGGAACTTGTTAATTTCTATTGCAATCCTCCTGTTATACAAAAGGGCAATACGAGGCAGCAAAAGAGACTTAAGGGGAGAAAAGAATGCCACGTCAGGATAGGGCATGAATAGGGTAAGGAGGCCAAGCAGAAATGATTAAACCGTAGTTGTAATAGCAAAAAGCCACAGTACACAGCAATCCTTCAATACCCAAACCCAACTTGTCTAAGACAAACATAGCTTGATAGCCAAGCAATCAAATTACTCAACTCACACAAATTGTAAATTGTAAGAAAACCATAAGTAACCATGCAAACCACCTTTACATTTTGTTTAAAGAATTCGCCATAGGTTGGATGCTTTTTTGGCTGTGTGTATCCGTCCATCCATTTTAAAGGAAACCAAGTCAACATTTTCTAGGGGTTCTGAAGGGAAGAAAGGAGGCAAATCACATGGACATGCGTAGCTATGCTTATCTGCCTTAATTCAGCGTTCTTGTCTAAGCACAAAAACTGAAACATTCAGAATCTAATTTCTTAAATCAGACTGTTTGCGGTGATGTCTTTATGGATTTTTGCTTTAAAAAATTTGGAAGGTGCTTCAGCTGAATTTCTTCAGTGACTTGTTTTCCTCCACCTTCTACATACAAAGTCTCACTAAAAATGTTAAAGGGTATCATTTTTTTTTTTATAGTATTCTCGTCCAATGAAAGCAGAAAATTATGCACCCAAGGCTCCACACAACCTATTGAAACCCTCATTACTACTAACTCACTACTCAGGAAATAACTTTAAGTCTAGGAAAGCTCAACCATTTTCAAATCCAGTTTTATCCACTTGCAGGTGCGCTCGGTTGGAAATATGCTGGGGTCACTGCTCCGGAACTAGCAATCAAATTACAAAAGATAGAAGGAAGAGTCGATAGGAGAACAAGGAACTGCTGATCCAACAAAAGATATAGAAGTATATAGAAAGCATAAAAGTAGAGAAGCAGAACAAGGGAACAATGATGAAATGTAGGAGGTAGCAGTTAGAAATTAATCGATAGGGCATATAGAAGGAAAGGACGAGAAGGGGAGTGGTTGAAGGAGAATCTCAGTCAAGTTTGAATGGAGAGTAGACCTCTCGAAAATTGGCAAGTGTGTTGTGTTTATTGAATGTTTGGTTTTACATTTTTTTCTGTCCCGACACGTGCGCAAGGAGATGCAGGTAAACACAAGTCCTAGCAATTGTAAGTTATATTTATAATTATCTTATTGAATTGTTATATAAATAGCTTCTCAGTTGATCCATTCCAACAACTTACTCTTAAAATATTTTTATGCAGTCCAGAATGCCAAAAACTAATTTATTCCTCAATTCTATTGTCTTGCACTGCAAATTTACTCTAAGGATCTGCCATATCATTTCTTTATCGTACAAAAATTCCTTTTCTCCCTCTGTATAACAAAGCACAATGGCGCAGGCGAACTGCAGCTTAAAGCACACGGACATTTTATGTCAGTGCCATATCACTTTGTCCTCGATCTAAGATTTCTTAAAAAAAAAAAAAAAAAATCCTTCCAATAGTTATTAGCCAATATTCAAGTTTTGCCATAAATTTTAATTGAAGTATAAAAATAGCTTGGCCAAAAAAAAAAAAAAATCCATGATAAGAGAGAAGTACCAATTTTAGAGAAGTAAAGCAATACATACAGGGCAAGGACTTCCTGGCAGTGCTAGCCAGGAAGGTCCACAAGCCACAATGGAAATTAGTTCAATATCAAATTTTTTTGTCTTGCCAAGACTTCTAGCACAGCAAAGACCATATGTACTAAGCAAAGCTTCTTAGAAGTTTATAACAAAAACTTGGCCAATGAATTGGCTTGTTTTCTTGAAACTGAAAGATTTTAAAAATTTACTCATTAACCTGATCAGTTTAATTCAGAAATAGAAACATTAATAAAACTCTCTTCAAGTACCTGAGGATGGACCATTGATCCTCCAGCTGCCAGAGAATATGCAGTACTTCCAGATGTAGTGGATAAGATTAATCCATCTCCTTGTACACACGTGACAAAAGAATCATCACAGTAACATTCCAAATTTGTGAGGTACGATGATATACCACGATCAATAGTGACCTCATTTAGAACAAGTACTGGGTCTTCAGTTTCATATTCAGTTTTAGCTGCATCTCTTATGACATGGCATATTAAACGGTGCCGTAATGTGATGCTCATGGGACCCTTCAATATTGATTCAAGGTACTCTCTGTAATGTTCACTATCTGATGGATATTAAGTTCAACTTTCAATCAGATAAGAAAAAAGGATGTTATATCACAGAAGTTAATATAAATGTAGAAGGAGGAGGATACGGAAAGGGGTCATGAAGCCAAGAGAACCCAAGGAAAATGGGACAACAGGAGGAACTGGTCCTTTGAACATAGATGCTGCCTGCACAGTTCATAGAATATTGTTATATATCATGTAATCATTGTAATTATTGTAATTCAATAGGCATAAAATCAAGAGACTAATAATCCCTAAACTCTAGTAATTTGTCATGGCATTTATTTTCATTACTAGGATAGCTTTATCTAACATTGTATAACCACATACAATTATTATTTGTATCATTAGAAAACATTCTTTTTGACATTTGTTGATGTATGTAACAACTAAAGAATTGCATAACAGAAAGGGATCAATCAAAAAGGAAGTTAATTTGAATTGATTGCACATACCCATAGGACAGTGCCATCTCCACCAAGAGTAATCACAAGGTCAACTTTAGTGTGCAACAGTGAAATTTCTTTATCTGCAACCAGTTGAAATTTTCTCTTCAGTAATCAAAATCATGGTAAGTATGAAAATTCATTAAAAATAAAATAAAATAAAAAGATATAGGATATTAAATAATACTAGAAAACTTCACTAAATCACAACAAGCATTTCTGTTGATACATCCTTCATGTTAAATATTGCTTGAATTGAGATTACGGCTCAAATAGTTCATTCCTCACCATCTTTCCAAGTTTCTACAAAGCTATAGTACGATGATTCTTTTAGAAGTTCTGTCCTAACACGTGGTTCCACATAGATGTTAAGCTTCTTTTGCTCCCTCAACCATCTGGGAAGAAAAATAAAGATAAGAAGAGTAATACCACATGAGCCAGTTTGACAAATATCATCATGTAATTTAAGAAAAAGGAAACCAAGATACATAGCTGGTTATAGGTTTATACCATGAAGGCAAATAAAAATAAGGATACAAAGATAAGATCGTTGTGCATGTTACAAAGTGAAGCTGAACAAAGAAAAAAGTGACAGGAAAAATTTTTCTAGTCCTTAACACCAGCATATGAAAAGCAAGATTCAGGCTAGAGTCCAGGTCAAGATGAAGATCCACCCTTCAAGATAGATCCCTGTATTGGTCTGAAAATCAGATAATATGCAAGTAAATTGCAGCTCTAAATACGAAATTTCCACTTCCAGATACAAACTCGAACACAACACCATGAATTACTAATTTAAGCCACTTATAATTTTTTCCAGAACCTTTGAACCTCCATCAAGCTGCAATTTATATTTATAAAAGAGAAAAACAAATTATCAAAACCCATGATGCTCTTAGGTTTCATGATAACATTAAATCCCTTAACCTTCCTAAAGAAAGGGAGGGGGGGAAAGGCCAGCAGAATTAGCAGAAAACTAACTGAAGCTCTCTTTTGTTTGGCAACAAATCAAGCTCTCCGATACAAAAGCCTTTCCTTGATGGCATATTACATAGTTTTAAGAAGTGATCCCTGCTGAAATCCAGCACTGTACTGCTAACTTAGGAAGAATCTTTTTTCCCACGGAAAAGCTATAAATGTGAAAGAAACAACAAAATAGGTGATATATTGGGATTCTTACCTAGTCATTTCTGCACAAAGAATTCGGACTGAAACTGAGTTGGGTTTGGTCAATATGAGCACTGTCTGTGGGCACGATTCCCACTTCAGAGATATCTGAAATTAATAGGACTTGTTAGTTAAAGCACTACAGGTATGCAAACTTCAGTACTAGTAAGAGGGAAAAATTTTAAGTTAAAGCATATTAGATAAATGGTAAGAATTATTTTAAAGTAATAAGGCCCCTCCTCAGTGGCAGAGTTGATACCTGCCTACTGCTGCGCTCAGCAGTGGTTATGTTTCCTCTCTCAAAAGAGACAATATCATGTTTGTGCTGATCACTTTGCTCACCTTTGCAGCACCATGAAAGTTTAAATGAAGCCTGTCTCAAGAGAAAACAACTCCAATTAAGGTTTTCCTAGGTGGGGGGATGAAGAAGATTAAAAAAATTCAGATACAGTTGACTGTTTATGCTGTACAATATTAATGGGATGACAATGGATTAGTTGCTGCTAGAACAAATTCGTCAAAAACTAAGATTACATGCACCTTTCTATGTGCAAAGAGATGCTTAGAATTTGAAAGCAGTTAAGACAACCTTGTACCAGTAACAAGATAAGACAAAAGGACTTTATGCAGCAAAAAATTGGCCACCCGTACTTCAAAGTACCAATAAGCAACCCATCAATTAAAGATTCATCACAACAACATATTTTGAATAAAGCAGGGATGTACAACAGACCTTTCTAACAATCTTGGCATCAGAATCAGGATTCCCATTCCTTAGAACCTCATGAGAGCAAATCCCATTTCTTGAGCAGCATCTTTCAGACAGCTCACCATCTTCATCACAAAATGGAGGCTTGTTGGCTGGCTTATCCATCTTCACATCATCAAGATCACCTTGATTCGCTAGGCGTGACTGCACTGCTAAAGAAACAAGAAGCAAGGAGGTATTATAAATTGGAGGGAGAAAGAAAGAGAGGGAGGGAGGGAGGGAGGGAGAGGCAGCACATGAAGCAGCAGTTGAGACAGGAAGCATACCAAGAGAGACTACAATACAAGCCACATAATATCGATATCATGGAGATTACAAAAATAAAATAAAATTTACAATCTTCTTTGCTGTGTTTTCACAACAGTATCTTTGAGATAATGACAATGAAATGGTCCCCTCATAGATATTGAAAATGATTTTCTCGTCTTGATAATTATACCACAGTACATTATTCCCTACCATTTGGGGATAGATGAGGTATTCTTATCAAGGAACAAGTCTTTAATAGATGTTGAAGTTATGAACAAAAATAAATTGTCTTAAACAATTTAAAGTGCCTTAGGGATTTGCTGACACGACCTATAATTCAGATTTGAACTGAAACAATCAAAAGAAAGGATTAACTCAAGAATCTCCAAGTAAACAAAGATGAGGACTTTTGCAGTTAAGATGGACAAAGCTGATTAAAAGTATTGTTCTTTTTGCATGATCAACAACTATGAAACTAAAATACAAACACAGAAACTGCATCTTGCAGTAATTTAATTATTTGAACCTTTATAATCCAACTGCATATTCCGTGCCCTCTCCAACTCATATTTGCGTTTCCATTCTGCAGCCTCAACTTGAGCAGAAGCCTTTCCTTCTGCAGCCCGCCTAAGGGCCTTTGCAACAGCTAGAAGGAGTTTAAAACAAAATAAGGACAAAGATCTTTATATCAAGATCATGTCTTACTGCAGTTGATATCAATAATCTTATCAAAACATGTGCATACTTCTCAAGGCTTCAGAAAATTCTATGAGATGACCATCTGATTCCTGTATTGAAGACTGGAGAAGCTCATGGTCTGCCTCAGCAGGGAAGAGAGAAAAGGAACGGGCAAACCCATTCTCAGATGGTGAACATGACCCATTTGCATTTCTCTGTTACATACAAAATGTCAAACATACCAAGGAAATTATGTGAACAGTTGGTAGTGGAAATTAACACTGCTACATGAGATTGATCCCCTCCAAAACAGACAATTATCATACTACGGTCTATGTAGTGGAAATCAAAGATTTGTAACATTCTTGTATTCTGTTTCTCCTCTTTGTTAGTAGACAAATTCAGACAAAACAAAACACAGCAATTTCGCTTCTTGACAGATATTATTTTATTAAATAAATGCATTGGCATCCTTAACTTGATTAATTAACGAGTACAGGAAGACCAGATATTTTACCCATTCACATCTTATTTTTTCTCCCCTTTCCGGAAAGATGTATGAGAAATGGTTTAGGCGCCAGGGGGGGTTTAAAGGTGAGGGGGAGGACTGCCCAATGTGTTATAAGATGTTTCTACTTCTATGAAGATATCATCCAATATATAAAATAAAATCTCTATAGCCGCACTATTCATAAGCCATGAACAATACAATCTATTTCTTAGACTCCATGTACATGGGACCCACACTAATTAGATTCAAATATGCCAATCAATTCTCTAGTGTCCCAAATTTTCTTGAGATAAAATTAGCATGCATGAAAATGGGTAGATTCAAACAGTTTAGGGAAACCCATATGAAATCAAAAACCATTGAATCCTGATAGTAAGATCGCAAATAACTGCAATTCAATTTAAGCCTCACATCTTAGAAATACCAGGCTTTTGGTCTGCAACTTGTAGGTAACAGGACTCAATACTTACATTATATAAAACACTGTCAATTCAATCACAAGTTCATTTACAGGTTTCTGCTGCACAAATTCTCAGTTTGACCGAGTTTAACCGATGGTAATCAGTTAAAAGTGTTGAACCAACCAATATTTGGAAGCTCCAAACGAATTGGGATTCCAAACACATTAACATCAAATTTGAAGACCACTGAATCCCATTTGTAAGATCGCAAATACAGGAAAACTTGATTTGGGATTCACATCTCAGAAACGCCTGTTTTTTTGGTCTGCAGCAAGTAGGTGACGGGGCTCCAATACGGACATTATAAAAGTACTGTCAATTCAATCAGGTTTCTGTTGCGTTCAAAAATCAAAACAAATTCTCAGTGAAGCCGAGTTTGACCAACGGTTATCATTAGAAGAGTTGAACGAACCAAAAGTTTGGGAGCTCCAAAGAAATGGGATTCCAGCCACATTTACATCAAATTTGAGTCCATATTTAGATTATTAACAAAACAAGATAGCATCAAGAACAATAAATCCTAATTAAGCATCCAAACCCCTGGAGCAAAACCCAAGAAATTAGAGGGATCCAAAGAAATTCCCAAGCTCACCAATGAAGTTCAACTTTCAACCAAGAAGCGCAATAAACTAAAAATTACATCAACTACCTATACAACCCTAAATGTGAATAGTGAATACAAATTTACAAAAAAAAAAAAACATTGAATTACCTCGGAATTCAGTTTGTTCGGTGCCATAGTCATAGCCTGAGGATGAAGAAGACGGAGAGGGAGGGAGAGAAAAATGGAGAATCAATTGGCTGAAGAAAGCCTTCCCAACTTCTGGTTGAGCCTTGAGGGTTCATATATATAATAAATTGTGTTAGGATTGAGAGGGATTTTGACCTGATGGATTGTCTGACATACCAAGATTTAATGGGGGTTTTTTTTTTTTTTTTTTTTTCTCTATAGCAAGATGGGATTGATTGAATTGAATTTAGTTTTCTTGATGGATATCTGTTTACGTGGGACCCACCTGAACTCCGCGTGGCATGTTAAGTGGTCTCTTCGCAGTAAACTTGGCCTCTCTTAAGTGGCCATGGCCTTGGAGTCAACCAAGCCAACAACTCCAACACGCACCAACCTAACTCTCCCTCTCCCCCTCCCTCTCCCTATCGCTCCTCATTGTTTTGTGTTCTTCCGAATCTCTTATTGGATATTGGGAAAATTTCATGTGAGGATCCTTGACCAGAAATAAAAAAAAATTTAAATTTTTAAAATTTCATTAAAGAATACATATAAAATTTCTTTCAAACTTGCGATAAAAATGATAAAATTGCCCTCATTTAAATGAACAACATAAATAACTTGTTCGTTACTATACTGTACATTATTCATTTATTTAGGAAATGTTGTTTGTTTTCTTACTTTACTTGTTATAATCCTAGTTTTACTTGATTTCATTCTAAGTGTTAGTTTTATGATAGGACGATTTGTTTATTTTCATATTATATGTTGTTTATTTATTTATGAAATATGGTTCGTTTTTCTATTTTACTTATTTATGACTTTGGAATGAAATCAAATGAAAGCAAGACTATAAATAAATAAAGTAGAAAAATGAACAACATACAATATAAAAATGATAAGTCGTTTATATTGTTCATTTAAATGAAGCCAATTTTGTCATTTTCATCACAAATTCAAACGAAATTTCGTACAGGTCCTTCAGTAAAATTTCATAAATTCAAGAGTCCTCTGTTTCATTATCTCTAATCAAGGGTTCCTTACTAAAATTTCCTTGGATATTTCTCTCAATCCATTTTGTGTTAATTTCATTTCATTTTTTATGTTACCTTTATTCTTGAATATAAGAAAAAGATATTCCTTATTAAACATGCTAACAAATTGAATTATTTTTATAAAGATGTTTAAATAATTATAAGGAATTTTATTAGAGATGGTATATTAAAAATAGGGTAAGGGGGCAAATATAATCACAAAGTGATCAGTTAGGGACACCTAGTATCCTAAAGTAAGAAAAAAGGACAAAAATACCCATATTGTTACATGAGTGGGTGCAAAAGTGACTAGATTGTTAATTTTGACTGTTAAATACGAATTGTGCATACCACGTGTCAGTCTTTGCCAATGTGGACTAATAAAGGAGAAAAAATACCCATAAAGTCATCGATCAGGAGTAAAAATACCAATAATGTTATAAAAATTAGTACAAAAGTGACCAATCCATTAAATTTTTAAATGTTGACCGTTTAGTTGATATATAAGCAGAAGTTGACTATTTTTCACTGATGTAGATCAAAAATATTCCCAAATAAATTTTTACTAACATTGATTGATCATTATATGAATACGCATAATTAGTGACCAATCCGTTAAAATTCACGCCACATGGTTTCTTTCCATTGCCATATATCTTAACCCCCTTCCTTTCTCTCTTTCCACTCATTTTTTTGTCTACAAAACCTGATAATTAACATAGTGAGATAAGATGTATACATTCAAAGATCGAGACTGAGCACACCTCCTATGCCACACTACCTTAAGAACATTGTCACAATCTTAAGCAATTTTATTCATAATAAGTTCAAAATTTTCAATTGGATTTCACCATTGCTACAAAGATATAAGCAATTTAATTTAATATTCGATTAAAATGATATTTTTCTCATATGATATTCATATAATGATCGATTAACCTCTAAAGACTTTCATCTGGAAATATTTTTTGTCCATGTTAATGAAAAAATGGTCAACTTTTGCTTAAGTATTAGCTAAATGATCAACATTTAAGGAATTTGATGGATTGATCACTTTTGCACCAACTGTTATAAAATTAAGGGTATTTTTGCTCCTTGCCAATAACTTCATGGGTATTCTTACCCCTTTATTAATCCACGTCAGTAAAGGCTAACACATAGCATGTGCAGTCAGCATTTAACAGTCAAAATTAACGACGTTAAGTCAAAGTTAATAGTCTGATTACTTTTGCATCAATTCATATAATGTTATAGATATTTTTATTCTTTTCCTCATTTTAGGATATTGGGTGTCCCTGGCTGACCACTTTGTGTATATTTTTGCCCTTTTATCCTTAAAAATATAAGGCCTTTGTTATTTTATAAGAGTTGTTTTTGGACAAATGTTTTATCAGAGTAGGTAATGAGATTTTTCTCAAATTATTATGAATGAATATTTGACATTAATAATATTTTTATATTTACAAAAGGGTTAAAAGAGCAATCTAGCCTCTAAATTATAAGTTCACAAGTATCTAAAATTTTAAACTCATTTTTTGTACAATATTTCTCCTAAACTTTCAAAAACGTTACAATGTAGCTCTATCATTGATAAAAATTAACTTTAATCGTTAGTGGACTAAAAAATAACAAAAAAACCAATAAAATAACAAAAAGGATTCAAAAAAATTATAAAAGAGGAGAACAAACCAAACAAGATTTCTTGATCCTTTTTTATAATTTTGAGGCATTTTTCTATCATTTTATAATTAACTAATGGTTCAAGTTGATTTTTGCTAATGATAAAGGCACATTACTCTATTTTCAAAAGTTGAGAAAAACATTACATAAAAAATAAATTTAAGGAAGTTAGCTTTCCTCCTCTACCAAGGAAAGTAGGGGAGAACCACTACAAAATTGAACTGTTAAATTAAATTTAATGCTTTAGACTCGATAATTTTTAAAAGTATAGATTTAATTTGAATAATTTAATTTTGTAGTAAAAGAATAGTGGAGGGAAAAAGTATTGAAGAGAAATCCACCCTAAATTTAAGGTACAAGAGGCTCCGTGACCTAATTTAAGAAGATAAATATATTTCATATTTTTTTTAATTTACATACACCTTTGCTTAGGAAGATAAATTATGGAGATAATGAAACTTTTAGTCTTCCAATTTGTCTTAGTTGTCAATTTGGTTTCTCAAGTTTTTTTTTTTTTTTTTTGTCAATTGGATCCTTTATGATTTCTTAAATTGACAAAAGCTCATATAGTTCAAGGATAAAAATGCACATCACTTTTGTTGGTGGCTTTTAAAAGAAAGATATTTTTATTTTTTTTAAAAAATAGTTTTTTAATTGGATTTGTGTCTTTTAATAATTTATAAAAAAGACTTATTCCCTTATTTGAGAAAGGATTTTTTTTTAAAAAAACTAGATTGAAATTCTTACAAAAATTCAAAAATCTTATGTGAAAATTAATTTTTTTAATACCTACAGAGATATCAAAATCTCACACAGCATAGAAATTATTTGCCAACATATTTATATATAATCAAAAATCTCTTCTTATTTTTTTAAATAAATCAATTACACATTATGATTGGTGTGTTTGTGGTAGCCTATTGCCACACACGGCATACCAATCAATTAGTTACCTACAGAGACTCTAAAAATTTCACAAGGTACGATTAGAAAAAAAAAAAGGTCTCAAATTTAAATATTGATGTGGTGTGTGTTAGAGGAGTTTACAATAATATAAGTGATAAAAAAAAAAAAGAAAGCAGGAGATCAAATTTTTGAAGTTCTATCCTGTTGTAATGATCTTGAGCAATATTTCAATCTCCATTCTATAGGCCACAAACAAAAAAAGTGAACAGTCAAATCATGTGCTTAGGTGTGTGTGTGAGCGCGCGCGCACGCTGGGGAAAAAAAAACACATGGATTCCTATTCTTCTATACTAATGAAGAGATGCACTTGGGATGAAAATTGATTTGAACGATTTTGGTTGAACCTGACTGTGAGATGGAAAGAAAATGAAAGAAAGAGGGGAAAAAGAAAAAAGAAATAAAGGAAGTAAAATTGATGGAGGTAAATATTGAATTAAAGCACCAAGGAAGGGGACGCAAGGCACGTACGCAAATATATATACACATATAGAGAGAGGTACATGCGCATGCGCATGGGGCACTAATATGATGAATCAACACAAGAACTTCGATGAAAATAATACAGAAATAAAAGAATCATTCAAATCATTATTAATCATATATCCTTATAAAAGCTTCAGATTTGCTCAAGATATAATGATAAATAAATGAATAGGAAAAAGAAGAAAAAGCAAATGATATTATCCTATTTAAGGCATCTCTACCCAATTCTAATCTCATATTATCATAAGTGGAGATGATACAAGAAAAAAGAAAAAACTAATATTCTCCACCTTTTCAACACCCTCTTTTCTAGTTTCTTAAGCTTTGTTTTTTTTCCCTTAGCCTCCTCCTCTTTCACCTTGATCTAACCTTTTTATATATGAGAATTTGGGGGCTCCCATCTTTAATAATGAATTCCATCTAATCACAATTTATTATTAATTTTATTTGACTTTCATCATTTTAAATCAAAGCACAATTTTTGGGATCAGATCTCTATTTCATTTTTTCAATTAAAGACTCATGTTAAGGTACAAATTTGTGAATTTTTTCATTTAATTTTTCATTTATTAATTTCCATTTTTATTATTTATTAAAAAAGGATTTTCAATTTTTTTGTTTATTCTTTATATTTTGAGGGTATTCGGACAAAGAGCTGTTCACAGTACAGCATCCTAAAGTCTCTTTCTAGGAGCATTAAGTACTTTGAAGTCTTATTAAAATAAAATTTAATAAATACTACCAAATATTAAATATATTCATATTTAATAATTTAGATATTATTTTTTATAAATATTTATTCAAAATTTATAAATTACTTTTAATATTAATGACTCAAACTAGCATTTTAAAATTTATAAATAACTTTTTATTTTTATATATCAATTTTAATCTTCTCTTTGAAGAGTGCTCAAATCATTAGCTCTTTATGCTTGTTTGAACTTATTTATATTTTTTAATATTGGTTAAAATTTCTTAAATTTTAGGTTATTTTTTGTAATTCTTTTTAATCAACTAACAATCTTCCTCA